ACCATCATCAGGTAGATGGATCCAATAATGGAAACCCACCAGAGAGATGTCCACCTCCTCTGTATTCCCGGGATTCCACACGGGAAGGTCACACCATCCCTCACCATCAGGTAGGTGGATCCAGTCATGGGAACCTACCAGAGAGATGTTCACCTCCTCTGTTTTCCCGGGATTCCACACAGGAAGGTCACACCATCCCTCACCATCAGGTAGATGGATCCAGTAATGGGAACCCACCAGAGAGATGTCCCCATCCTCTGTATTCCCGGGATTCCACACAGGAAGGCTACACCTTCCCTCACCATCATCAAGTAGATGGATCCAATAATGGAAACCCACCAGAGAGATGTCCACCTCCTCTGTATTCCCGGGATTCCACACAGGAAGGTCACACCATCCCTCACCATCAGGTAGGTGGATCCAGTCATGGGAACCTACCAGAGAGATGTCCCCATCCTCTGTATTCCCGGGATTCCACGCAGGAAGGTCACACCATCCCTCACCATCATCAGGTAGGTGGGACTGTAGCATGCAGACTTCAAAATGTATTCTGACCAATGAGATGGCATTGCACTATTTAACTTTTTTTCCTTTTTACAAATGTATTCCATCATCTTTGGGGTTTAGGATGAACTGAAAGACATCAACATTCAGGTTAAAGAGGAAGAAGAAGAGACCTTGGTGAGTGGAGATCAACAGTCTATGGAGGAGATGACAATGAAAAGTGAACAGGAGGAACCTTCGCTTTATATCGACACAAGTAAGTAATAAACAATAAATGCAGAAACAGCTGACTTTTCATGTAACTTCTATGAGTATAAAATATGGGCCCTTTGTTGTTTTTTTTTTTCTTTTCTGGCAGTTTACTGCCGCTTTAACTTGTCACACTTAGTATGATTTCTAAATGTAAGGTATACAGTTTTGAGAATGACACAAATACTAATTTTAACAAAGTCTGCTGCCTCGATTTTTACTAACACAGGTGTCAGTGTTGACGAGGACAAGGCTGGAGGTCGTTTTGTCATGCTGACTGAGTTAGAATAACAGACTAGAAGCTTTAAAAGTAGGGTGGTGCTTGAAATCATTGTTCTGCTTCTGTTAACCATGGTTACCTGCAAGAAAACACATGCCATCATCATTGCTTTGCACAAAAAGGGATTCACAGGCGAGTATATTGCTGCTACTAAGATTGCACGTAAAACCAACCATTTATCGGATCATCAAGAACTTCAAGGAGATAGGTTCAGTTGTTATGAAGAAGGCTTCAGGGCGCCCAAGAAAGTCCAGCAAGTGCCTAAAGTTGATTCAGCTGCAAGATCGGGGCTCCACCAGTGTAGAGCTTGCTCAGGAATGGCAGCAAGCAGGTGTGATGCATTGGCACGCATAGTGAGGAGAAGACTTTTGGAGGATGACCTGGTGTCAAGAAGGGCAGCAAAGAGGCTGGAAAAACATCAGGGGCGGACTGGTATTCTGAAAAAGGTCCAGGGATTGGACTGCTGAAGACTGGGGGGGGAAGTCATTTTCTTTGGTGAATCCCCTTTCCGATTATTTGAAAAAACCTTGTCTGGAGAAAAAATGGTGAACGTTACCATCATCATCCATCATGCCAACAGTAAAGGATCCTGTGACCATTCATGTGTGGGGTCGCTTCTCAGCCAAGGGAGTGGGCTCTGCCTAAGAACACATCCATGAATAAAGAATGGTCCAAAAACATCCCAACCATCCAAGCAACTTCTCCCAACCATCCAAGCAACTTCTCCCAACCATCCAAGCAACTTCTCCCAACCATCCAAGCAACTTCTCCCAACCATCCAGGCAACCTCTCCCAACCATCCAAGCAACTTCTCCCAACCATCCGGGCAACTTCTCCCAACCATCCAAGCAACTTCTCCCAACCATCCAAGCAACTTCTCCCAACCATCCGGGCAACTTCTCCCAACCATCCGGGCAAATTCTCCAACCATCCGGGCAATTCTCCCAACCATCCGGGCAACTTCTCCCAACCATCCGGGCAACTTCTCCCAACCATCCGGGCAACTTCTCCCAACCATCCGGGCAACTTCTCCCAACCATCCCAACTTCTCCCAACCATCCGGGCAACTTCTCCCAACCATCCGGGCAACTTCTCCCAACCATCCGGGCAACTTCTCCCATCCATCCGAGCAACTTTTCCCAACCATCCGGGCAACTTCTCCCAACCATCCGGGCAACTTCTCCCAGCCAGCCGGGCAACTTCTCCCATCCATCCGGGCAACTTCTCCCAACCATCCGGGCAACTTCTCCCCAACCATCCAGGTAACTTCTCCCAACCATCCAGGCAACTTCTCCCATCTATCCAGGCAACTTCTCCCAACCATCCAGGCAACTTCTCCCAACCATCCAGGCAACTTCTCCCATCTATCCAGGCAACTTCTCCCAACCATCCAGGCAACTTCTCCATCTATCCAGGCAACTTCTATCCAGGCAACTTCTCCATCCAGGTAACTTCTCCCAACCATCCAGGCAACTTCTCCCAGCCATCCGGGCACTTTCTCCCATCCATCCGGGCAACTTCTCCCAACCATCCGGGCAACTTTTCCCAACCATCCGGGCAACTTCTCCCAACCATCCGGGCAACTTCTCCCCATCCGGGCAACTTCTCTCAACCATCCAAGCAACTTCTCCCAACCATCCAGGCAACTTCTCCCAACCATCCAAGCAACTTCTCCCAACCATCCGGGCAACTTCTCCCAACCATCCAAGCAACTTCTCCCAACCATCCAAGCAACTTCTCCCAACCATCCGGGCAACTTCTCCCAGCCATCCGGGCAACTTCTCCCATCCATCCGGGCAACTTCTCCCAACCATCCGGGCAAATTCTCCCAACCATCCAGGTAACTTCTCCCAACCATCCAGGCAACTTCTCCCATCTATCCAGGCAACTTCTCCCAACAACCATACAGGCAACTTCTCCAACCATCCAGGTAACTTCTCCCAACCATCCAGGCAACTTCTCCCAAACATCCAGGCAACTTCTCCCAAACATCCAAGCAACTTCTCCCAACTATCCAGGCAACTTCTCCCAACCATCCAAGAACAATTTGGTGAGGAACAACGCCTCTTCCAGCATGATGAAGCACCTTGCCAGAAGGCAAAAGGCCTGGAGAACAAAACATCGAAACTTTGGGTCCATGGCCAGGAAACTCCCCAGACCTTCATCCCATTGAGAACTTGTGGTCGATCCTCAACACGCCCCCAAAAAAACCCACAAATTTGGACAGCCTCCAAGCATTGATTAGGCAAGAATGGGCTGCCATCATTCAGGATGTGACCCAGAAGTTGATGGACAGTGTGAAGAACTATGAGTGCAGAGAAAGAGCAGATTGCACAGAACCCGACGTGCAGGCGTTTATTGGGGGGTTTTGCGGGGTTACAGACGATCAGGCAGCTAGTCCACAGAACAACATAACACACAGCGATTCAGTAGGGTTCTCAGGATGGCAATATGGGACAACAGGGGGGGCGACAGTCCTCCGGGTTCAACAGGACAGAGTGGCGGGGGGTGCCGCAGGAGTTGAAGTCCACTGGCAAGGTTTTCAACCAGAATTGGGCTAAGTCCAGCACAGTCAGAGATCTGGCCAGGGCCATAAAGAATACTTCTGATTAGTGATGGGCCGAATATCCCCCTCTGTTCAGTTCGCGGTCGAACATCCGAACCTACAGAATGTATGACCGTGAACTTCGACCACGAACAATATACCGAGCGGTATTTTACCACGAGTATGTGGGAAGATACGGCTCAGTTACTGAAATCCGGCGTGAGTTCTACGATCAGGAGTGGTCAGGGGCATTGCTTTGACCAATCACAATGTGTGGCGCGGAGGGCGAACAGCCCACCGAACGCCCGTATCGTTCGTTCGTGTGTTCAGCGAACACGTAAATGGTCGAACATTCAGCCCAACATGACTTCTAATGTGTATTTCAAAATCATATTCCCACAGGTGGACGCTATGCCAGGAACATCTCCATGGGTCGCCCTGTTTTTGCTCCCGGGACATCACACCCATGAGAGCGATGACGCAGAACCCCCACCAGGAGTCAGTTTCATTGTTCAATGTACGCAGAAATCAGCTGATCCCTCCAATCCTCAGGATTCCTCTAATAGATCCAAGACTTTGACTCCAGATCCTCAACCAAGATCCCATGGTATGGAGAGGTCAACAGATCTGTCCAATCCTCGGGAATCCTCTGATAGATCCAAGACTTTGACTCCAGATCCTCAACCAAGATCCCACCGTACGGAGAGACCATCAGATCTGTCCAATCCTCGGGAATCCTCTGATAAATCCAAGACTTTGACTCCAGATCCTCAACCAAGATCCCAAGGTACGGAGAGACCATCAGATCTGTCCAATCCTCGGGAATCCTCTGATAGATCCAAGACTTTGACTCCAGATCCTCAACCAAGATCCCACGGTACGGAGAGACCATCAGATCCGTCCAATCCTCGGGAATCCTCTGATAGATCCCAGACTGTACCTTCAATTCTTCAACCAAGATCCCACGGTACGGAGAAACCAACAGATCCATCCAATCCTGAGGAGTCTTCTGATAGATCCCAGACTGTAACTCCAGATCCTCAACCAAGATCCCACGGTACGGAGAGGTCAGCAGATCCGTCCAATCCCGAGGAGTCTTCTGATAGATCCCAGACTGTACCTCCAGATCCTCAACCAAGATCCCACGGTACGGAGAGGTCAGCAGATCCGTCCAATCCCAGAGGAGAGAGTTCATTGTCATGTTCGGTGTGCGGGAAATCCTTCACTCAAAACAAAGAGCTTCTTAAACATCAGGTGACTCACAGCGAGGAGCGTCCTTATTCATGCTCAAAGTGTGGGATACGTTTCGCTAAGGAGTCACACCTTCTTACACACCAGAAATATCACATGGGCAAGCCCCCTTATTTATGTTCGGAGTGCGGGAAAAGTTTCAGTCAGAAAAACAACCTCCTTATTCATCTGAGGATTCACACGGGCGAGCGTCCCTTTTCGTGTTCGGAGTGCGGGAAACGTTTCAGTCGGATAGAAGAACTTCAGAAACATCAGAAAGTTCACACGGGTGAGCGTCCCTATCAGTGTTCAGAGTGTGGGAAATGTTTCAGTCAGAGAGAAGGCCTTCTTGTGCACCAGAGAATTCACACAGGTGACAAGCCTTACTCGTGTTCAGAGTGCGGGAAACGTTTTATTCTCAAACAAATCTTACTTACCCACCAGAGAATTCACACGGGTGTGTGCGCCCGTTTTCATGTTCGGATTGCGGGAAATGTTTCTCTATGAAACAACACTTAAATATACACCAGAGAATTCACACCGGAGAGCATCCTTATTCATGCCCAGAGTGCGGGAAATGTTTCACTCAGCAGTCAAACCTTCTCAGACACCAGAGAACTCACACGGGGGAGCGTCCCTATTCATGTTCAGAGTGCGAGAAAAGTTTCACTAATAAAAGAAGTCTTCTCAAGCACCAGAGAATTCACACAAAGTAGCATCCTTTTTCATGTTCAGAGTGCAGGAAATGTTTTGCTCTGATAGAAGAAATTCTTAAAAATCTGAAAATTCACACAGGTGAATATTACTATTAATGCTCAGAGAGCAGGAAATGTTTCACTAGTGAAGTCTTCTCAAGCACCAGAGAATTCACACAAAGTAGCGTCCTCATTCATGTTCAGAGTGCGGGAAATGTTTGGCTCTGATAGAAGTACTTCTTAAAAAATCAGAAAATTTACACAGGTAAATATTACTATTAATGCTCAGAGTGCGGGAAATGGTTCACTAATAAAAGAAGTCTTCTCAAGCACCAGAGAATTCACACAAAGTAGCATCCTTATTCATGTTCAGAGTGCGGGAAATGTTTTGCTCTGATATAGGAACGTCTTAAAAGTCTGAAAATTCACACAAGTGAATATTACTATTAATGCTCAAAGAGCAGGAGATGTTTCATAAATGAAGTCTTCTCAAGCACCAGAGAATTCACAGAAAGTAGAGTCCTTATTCATGTTCAGAGTTCGGGAAATGTTTTGCGCTGATAGAAGAACTTCTTAAAAATCAGAAAATTCACACAGGTATTATTAATGCTTAGAGTGTGGGAAATGTTTCATTAATAAAAGAAGTCGGCTTAAGTACCAGAAAATTCACACAAAGTAGCATCCTTATTCATGTTCAGACTGTGGGAAATGTTTTGCTCTGATAGAAGAACTTCGTAAAAATCAGAAACTTCATATTCCTATTAAAGCTCAGAGTGTGGGAAATGTCTCCGTCAGAAACTAAGCCTTGTTACACACCGGAAAATCCACAGACCCTGCTGATGTTAAGAGTGCGGGAAATGTTTTCATGACTATGAATAAGGTTTATATTTTTTTTTAACCGAAACTGTAACTTGCACACTTATGAATAAAGTACTTTTATCCAGAGAACCAGTCATCGGCTCCTCACCTTATACTCTCAATGAGTTTCCTGACCCCTGTCTGTGTGACGTACTAACACTGACCGAGCGAACATGAAAAAAAAAGGACGCGTCTAGCTAGAGCTGAACTAACCAGCGCAAAAAAAAAAAGGGGAGGACAGAGGGAGAAACTAAAATCATGTAGTAAACAAGTTGTAATGGCTGGATATTTTCACTAGATGTCAGCATACAACAAAACAAGCCGTTCAATACAACACACACAAAAAAAAAAAAAACGGTCACATTGGTCCCTGCCCTCAGGAGTTTACAATCTAAGGTCCCCAACTCGCAATCAAAGGCTAGGGCCAATTAAAACCAACAGCTGTAGTTTCCAGCTGCTGCGAAACTACAAGTCCCATCATGCCCCTGCCTTTGGGAGTCACGCTTGTAACTGTCAATCATGCAATGCTCATGGGACTTGTAGTTTGGCAACAGCTGGAGGGCCGTAAGTGTGACCCCCATTTTCCAAATGGTTGAAAGGTTGGGGGATGGGAATGTGGCCCTTCGGTATATGATGGGCAGCCCTCAGATGTCAACAGCCTGTAGAGGGGATATTGATTGGGCCCAGACCATGGACGAAGTTGTATGAGTTGGAAAAAAAAATGTCTACCATAGGGGCCCGGAGCCGAGGTGAGCTGTGTGGGAAGAAATCACAATGATTCTGTATATACACTAGATTGCCCGAAGTATTGGCCCCGCCCTCCAAATCAGGTGATTCAGGAGCTCAGTGACTCCAAGCGTGGTCCCGTGATAGGTGGTCACCTGGGCAATAAGTCCATCCGTGACATTTCCTGGCTACTAAATATTCCACGCTCAACTGTTAGTGGGATTATAACAAAGTGGAAGCAACTGGGAACAACAGCCACTTAGCCACCAAGTGGTAGGCCACGTCACATGACAGGGCGGGGTCAGCGCATGCTGAAGCGCACAGTGCGCAGAAGTCACCAACTGTCTGCAGAGTCAATAGCTAAAAACCTCCAAACTTGGTGTGGCCTTCAGATGAGCCCAACAACAGTGCGTAGAGAACTTCATGGAATGGGTTTCCATGGCTGAGCAGCTGCATCCAAGCCTTCCATCACCAAGTGCAATGCAAAGCGTCGGATGCCATGGTGTAAAGCACGCCGCCACTGGACTCTAGAGCAGAGGAGACGTGTTCTCTGGGATGACCAATCACACTTCCCTGTCTGGCAATCCGATGGATGTGTCTGGGTTTGGTGGTTACCAGGAGAACGGTACTTGCCTGACTGCATTGTGCCAAATGTAAAGTTTAGTGGAGGGGGGATTATGGTGTGGGGTTGTTTTTCAGGGGTTGGGCTTGGCCCCCTAGTTCCAGTGAAGGGAACTCTTAACCATTTCAATACCGGGCAATTTTACACCTTCCTGCCCAGGCCATTTTTCACGTTTCAGCGCTCTTACACTTTGAATGACAATTGCGCGGTCATACAACATTGTACCCAAACTAAAATTTTATCATTTTCTTCACACAACTAGAGCTTTCTTTTGGTGGTATTTAATCACCGCTGGGGTTTTTATTTTTTGCTAAATTAACAAAAAAAGATCAAAAATGTTGAAAAAAAAAACACGTTTTTCTTTGTTTCTGTTATAAAAGTTTACAAATAAATAATTGTTCTTCATAAATTTAGGCCGAGATGTATTCTGCTACATGTCTTTGGTGAAAATAACCCAAATTAGGATGTATTATTTAGTTGTAGGAAAGTTATAGAGTTCACAAACTATGGTATAGATCTGAATATTGATCAATCCTGAAGTACTGACAGCCAATCTAATTTCTTGAGGTCCAAGAATGTCAGAACAGTACAGATTCCCCCAAATGACCCCTTTCTGCAGAGTAGACAGTCCGACGTACTTCATAAGAGGAATGGCGAGTTTTTTGAAGTTTTATTTTTTTTGTCATCATTTTTCGGAAAATGAAAAAATTAAAAAAATTATTTTCACTATTTTTTTTTTACATACTGTCACCAGTGCAGTACAGCGTCATCATATAACTGGCATGGCGGTGAACAGGGACACTGACTGGTGACAGTATGAATATATATATATATATATATATTTTTATTTATTATTTTAAATTTTTTATTACATTTTTTTTTTTTTAAGATTTTTTTTTTTTCATATTTTACTATGACCAAAGTAGTACAATGTTACCCTAGTAACATTGTACTACTTTGGGGAAGTGATCAGTATCCCTCCTCTCGGGCGGCCGCCCCAAAAGTCAGGACTCTGCAGCTAGCCCAGCAATGGGCAAACTACGGCCCGGCGGACCTTTTAATCCGGCCCCGCGGAACGCTGGCAAACATTAGGGCTGTCAGGATGTAGGCGGGGCAGCCAGGATGTAGGCGGGGCAGCGTGACGAACTTCTCTCCTCCTCTCACAGTCCGCCCTGAAGACCGGAACGGCACGGGAACACGGTAAGAGGAACGCGCGGAGCAAAGGTAAGTGAATTGACACAATATGGGAATGACTTACTATAGGGGGGATGAATTACTATAGGGGGGATGAATTACTATATGGGGGATGAATTACTATGGGGGATGAATTACTATAGGGGGGATGAATTACTATAGGGGGGATGAATTACTATGGGGGATGAATTACTATATGGGGGATGAATTACTATAGGGGGGATGAATTACTATATGGGGGATTAATTACTATGGGGGATGAATTACTATATGGGGGATGAATTACTATAGGGGGGATGAATTACTATATGGGGGATGAATTACTATGGGGGATGAATTACTATATGGGGGATGAATTACTGTGGGGGATGAATTACTATATGGGGGATGAATTACTATATGGGAGATGAATTACTATGGGGGATGAATTACTATGGGGGATGAATTACTATATGAGGGGTTGAATTACTATATGGGGGATGAATTACTATGGGGGATGAATTACTATATGGGGGATAAATTACTATGGGGGATGAATTACTATATGGGGGATGAATTACTATGGGGGATGAATTACTATGGGGGATGAATTACTATATGGGGGATGAATTACTATGGGGGATGAATTACTATATGGGGGATAAATTACTATATGGGGGATGAATTACTATATGGGGGATGAATTACTATGGGGGATGAATTACTATATGGGGGATGAATTACTATAGGGGGGATGAATTACTATATTGGGGATGAATTACTATAGGGGGGATGAATTACTATGGGGGATGAATTACTATATGGGGGATGAATTACTATGGGGGATGAATTACTATATGGGGGATGAATTACTATAGGGGGGATGAATTACTATATGGGGGATGAATTACTATGGGGGATGAATTACTATATGGGGGATGAATTACTATGGGGGATGAATTACTATATGGGGGATGAATTACTATGGGGGATGAATTACTATATGGGGGATGTATTTTCAGTTTTAAAAATGTGGCTCTCAAAGTAAATTTCAATCGTGGTTTTGGCGAGATTTGGCTCTCAGTTGAAAAAAATGGTTGCCCACCACTGGCTTATAGCAATAGAATTATTTTGCTATAAGCAAGCATTTATCTTAATGAAATCGATTCATTCGGGTTTTTTTTTTTTTTTTTTTTTTTTTTTTTGTGCTTAGCTGTGATTTGGCCACAGCTAATCACATGACATGTGCATGTGACCTGCTGTGACCATTCACAGCTAGGCACTAGTATACAATGGATGGCATGAATGAAGCCATCCATTGTATACAACTGTCATGTGACCTGCTGTGATTGGTCACATGGTACCAGCAACGGGAGCCGGTACTCAGATCTGTCATCGGCCGTGTCCGAGGTACACGGCCGGTGACAGATTGCGCCGCTGCAACCGCGCAAACTGTGCATGTGCGGGAGCACGCCAAATGGCGTGCACCCGGAAAGCTAAAGCGCTTTTGATGCCGCCAAACAGCTATAGGCCGGGCGGCTAATGGTTAAGGCGACATTTTGGACAATTTCATGCTCCCAACTTTGTGGGAAGAGTTTGGGGATGGCCCCTTCCTGTCCCAACATGACTGCGCACCAGTGCACAAAGCAAGGTCCATAGACATGGAGGAGCCAGTTTGGGGTGGAGGTACTTGACTGGCCTGCACAGAGACCTGACCTCAACCCCATAGAACACCTTTGGGATGAATTAGAGCAGAGACTGCGAGCCAGGCCTCCTCCCCCGACATCAGTGCCTGACCTGACAAATGTGCTTCTGGAAGAATGGTCCAACCTTCCCATAGACACCCTCCTAAACCTTGTGGACGGCCTTCCCAGAAGAGTTGAAGCTGTTATAGCTGAAAGGGCGGGGCCAACTCATATTGAACCCTACGGACTAAGACTGGGGGGCCATTAAAGGTCATGTGCGTGGAAAGGCCGGAGACCCAATACTGCGGGCAATATAATGTATATATAACTCAGGGGTAAAATATACACAAAAATAGGAAAGCACTAAAACGTAGTCAAAGTACTAATAAACCAACCTGCATTTCTCTTTCAATAATTTTTGTTAAAGTGTTTCATTTTAAACAAGTGTATAAGTAGACGTGGAGTAACAACAATCATAGATCCCATAGGGGAGGCGTTGCAGCCAGCTTCAATGTCTAAAATATTCCACAAGGTGCTGATCTCAGTTATCAATGGACCACAGAGACAGGAAGTGATGTCATATACAGACAAGAACTTCCGGGTGAGAGGCGAGTCAGGAGGAAGCTGAGAGGAGACATTGCTGGAACTGGCAGCAGAGGAGGTAATAGGATCTTATTTTGTATTTACACCCAGTAACCCTCCCGTCATGTCAGTCCTCTTCCTCCATCGTCATGTCTGCCCACATCTTCCATAGTCACCTTGATATTTTTCTGGTTTATAGACCGGATACATCCTAAATATAGAACCATTTATCCAACCGTCCATCCGGAGCCTCTGGTTTATAGACCGGATACGTGCTAAATATAGAACCATTTTATCCAACCGTCCATCCAGAGCCTCTGGTTTATAGACCGGATACATCCTAAATATAGAACCATTTATCCAACCGTCCATCCAGAGCCTCTGGTTTATAGACCGGATACGTCCTAAATATAGAGCCATTTATCCAACCGTCCATCCAGAGCCTCTGGTTTATAGACCGGATACATCCTAAATATAGAACCATTTATCCATTTTATTTGTCTTTGGATTCCCGGCTCTCATTAATATGATGGCACCATGGCTTCTCTGGAGTCGGAGATATGGAGGAAGGAGATCGAAAAACAGTTCAAGTTGAGCTCCATTATTTGGAGTCAGATCTGTTCAGTCCCTTATTCCTCCTCAGTTGTCCCTCTCTTTGGTCTGGTGTGTGGTCCATCATAAAAGCTGTACTATTCATCTACACGAAACCTTTTATCCATCCATGCTAAAAAGTGTCCCTCAAACAGTTGGAAGGTCGGGTAGAAGTCCTAATCAGGGAAGAAGGAATGAAACATCCCGACAGTACATAGAATAATGGATGAAGCTCCTGATTCTCGTGCTGTGATGGAAGTAATGCTGCAATTCTGTACCTCACGGTGTAATGGTGGAGGATTGTTGGTTCCCTTTGGTCTCTCACCATAGGAAACGGGCTTCAAGGAGCCCATAAACCATTTGACATGCCTGGTTCAAGTAGTTCTTAAAAGGTAATCTTTGGTTTTTCTTTCAGATCATTGAAATATGAGGCCTGCTATATGGTATACCAAGAGGTCCAAGATGAACCTATGAGTACTATAGAGGACCACTGTGGAGACATTCTTCATCCCAGTATAGTGGAAATATTGAGCAATTTATTCTTTTGTTCATGGAATGAGAGTCCTGTTTAGATCACCAAATCAATAAGGATGAACCAGGACCAAAGCCAAGTAACTGAGAGGATATTGGACCTCACCCTGGAGATCATCTACCTGCTGACCGGAGAGGTGAGGTGGATTCTGGGAAGTCACATGATATCACTCTTATCTCTATTAATAAAACACAGACCCTGACTGGAGAGGTGAGGAGGATTCTGGGAGGTCACATGACGTCACTCTCATCTCTAATAATAAAACACAGACCTGACCAGAGAGAGAGGTGAGGAGGATTCGGAGAGGGTGAGGAGGATTCTGGGAGGTCACATGACGTCACTCTCATCTCTAATAATAAAACACAGACCTGACCGGATAGGTGAGGAGGATTCTGGGAGGTCACATGACATCACTCCTATCTCTATTAAAACGCAGACCTGACCGGAGAGGCGAGGAGGATTCTGGGAAGTCTGTAGAGATAATTGTTACATTTTCTCTTTATACAGGATTATAAAGTAGTGAAGAAAACATCGAATGAACCATTTACACCAAACGGTTATGTTAACAGGGCATCACCCATCACAACGCCTCCACCTCACTGCCTGAAGACAAACTTTGGAAAGAAAATCCTAGAAGTCACCCAGAAGATCATTGATCTGCTGACAGGAGAGGTGAGCAGTGCCGGGAATTCTGGGACATTCTCCAGTAACAGACAAGGGATGTGTCTGGATGGTGACTGTATCATTGTGTGTGTCAGGTTCCTATAAGGTGTCAGGGTGTCACTGTCTATTTCTCCATGGAGGAGTGGGAGTATTTAGAAGGACACAAGGACCTCTACAAGGACGTCATGATGGACAATCAGCCGCCCCCTCACATCACCGGGTAAGAGGAGACTTTATTGTAAAGGAGAGAGCAGTACGGAGGATCCACCTAGATCCCCCATCATCTGATAAACACATAGAAACAATGGATTCAGTCAGTGTGTGTGTTTCCTACAGATGGATCCAGTCATGGGAACGTACCAGAGAGATGTCCTTGTCCTCTGTATTCCCGGGATTCCACACAGGAAGGTCACACCATCCCTCACCATCATCAGGTAGGTGGAACTGAGGAACTAGAACTCCATGAACTTTAATGTATTCTAACTGTATATGACATTTTTCTATGTAATTTCCTGTTCTTTTCTTTACAAATCTACTCTTTGGAATTCAGGATAAAGAACTTAAAGACATCAAAGTTGAAGTTAAAGAAGAAGAAGAAGAGACGTTGGTGAGTGGAGATCAGCAGTCTATGGAGGAGGGGGAGATGATTATGGAAAGTAAACCGGAGGAATCTTCTCTACATATGGACACAAGTAAGTCATAAACACTAAATGTAGAAACAGTTCACATTTCAATTGTACTTCTATGAGTATAAAAATGTGTATTTACATTATTATCACACGGGTTGAAATATAAGATATGTCCATGGAACTCACCTAAAAATCCAAATCCCACAACTGATCCAGAGAAGAGCAGAAAAGCCACATAAAGTTTGGCCCAATTTTCTTTACGATAAAAGAATTCTTTCCTGATCCTACAATGGCAATCCGATAACTCGCTAGATAAACATTCTACAATGAATCTTCCTACAAATATTAGAATCACTTCAAATCAGCTAGAACAAGACTATTCCTCATTGGGTCCATCTTTTTCGTCCAGATAACGTCATGTTCCCAACAAATGAGGAGGAGATACTGTACACCATATGAAAGGTCCATCTCCATTCCTCAATATAACGTCACGTTCCCAACAAATGAGGAGGAGATACTGGACACCATATGAAAGGTCCATCTCCATTCCTCAATATAACGTCATGTTCCCAACAAATGAGGAGATACTGGACACCATATGAAAGGTCCATCTCCATTCCTCAATATAACGTCATGTTCCCAACAAATGAGGAGATACTGGACACCATATGAAAGGTCCATCTCCATTCCTCAATATAACGTCATGTTCCCAACAAATGAGATACTGGACACCATATGAAAGGTCCATCTCCATTCCTCAATATAACGTCATGTTCCCAACAAATGAGGAGGAGATACTGGACACCATATGGAAGGTCCATCTCCATTCCTCAATATAATGTCATGGTCCTGACCACACATGTATGATTTTAGTGGAAGGCTTTAGGACCTCACACACGTATTTATGAATTATTTTCCAGCAGGTGGACTCTATACCTGGAGCATCTCTGAGGGACGTCTTCTGTTATCCCCAGGTTATGATGTGAAATCTGATGACACGGCTCAGCTCTTTCCAGAAGAAGACGTCATCACTCAGAACACACAGCTATCAACGGATCCCTCCAATCTTCCGGAATCATCCGATCAATTCCATACTGTGACTCCAGATACACATGGAAGATCTCACAGTGTGGAGCGATCAGCAGATCCATCTAATTCCAAGGAATTTCCCCTCAGCCATGAAAGAGTTTCCACAGGACAGCGTTCCTTGCCATGTTTGGTGTGCGGGAAATCTTTCTCTAAAAGCGGGGACCTTCTTAGACATCACCGAACTCACACAGGCGAGCGTCCTTATTCCTGTTCAGAGTGTGGGAAATGTTTTACTGAGAAAGGAAACCTCCTTACACACCAGAAAATTCACACGGGTGAGCGTCCTTATTCATGCCCAGAGTGCGGGAAATGTTTTATTCAGAAAGGAGACCTTCTTACACACCAGAGAATTCACACGGGTGAGCGTCCTTATTCATGCCCAGAGTGCGGGAAATGCTTTATTCGAAAAGGAAAACTTCTTGTTCACCAAAGAACTCACACAGGCGAGCGTCCCTATTCATGTCCAGAGTGCGGGAAATGCTTTATTCAAAAAAGTAAACTTGATACACATCAGAAAACTCACACAGGCGAGCGTCCCTTTTCCTGCCTGGAGTGCGGGAAATGTTTCAGTCAGAAAGTAAACCTTCTTACACACCAGAGATGTCACACTGGCGAGCGTCCCTTTTCATGTGCAGAGTGCGGGAAAGGTTTCACTGACAAAAAAGTACTTCAAGTACACCAAAGAATTCACACCGGGGAACGTCCTTATCCGTGTGCGGAGTGTGGGGAATGTTTTATTCGGGTAGAAAAACTTCATAAACATCAGAGAATTCACATAGTCGAGAATCCCTATTCGTGTTCTGAGTGCGGGAAATGTTTCGCCAAGAAAGGAGACCTTCGTGCGCACCAGAAAACTCATACTGCCGGGTGTCCTTATTCATGTTCAGAGTGCGGGAAGTGTTTCACTACGAAAGGAAGCCTTCTCACACACTCCAAAATTCACACTGGTGAGCGACCCTATTCATGTTCAGAGTGCGGGAAATGTTTCACTGCAAAAGGTAGCCTTCTTACACACCAGAGAATTCACACGGGCGAGCGCCCTTTTTTATGCCCAAAGTGCGGAAAATGTTTTAGTCAGAGGTCCAGCCTTCTTAGACACCAGAGAAGTCACAGAGATGAGCGTCCCTATCCATGTTCAGAGTGTGGGAAATGTTTCACTGAGAAAGAACAACTTCAGAGACACCAGAACTTTCACACAGCAGATAGACCTTAGTCATGTCCAAAGTGCGGGAAATGTTTCAGTGAGAAAGAATAATTTCACAAAACAAACTGATCTTAGTTACAGTCAGGTCCATAAATATTGGGACATTTACACAATTCTAAAATTTTTGGCTCTGTACACCACCACAATGGATTTGAAATGAAACAAACAAGATGTGCTTTAACTGCAGACTGTCAGCTTTAATTTGAGGGTATTTACATCCAAATCAGGTGAACGGTGTAGGAATTACAACAGTTTGCATATGTGCCTCCCACTTGTTAAGGGACCAAAAGTAATGGGACAATTGGCTTCTCAGCTGTTCCATGGCCAGATTAGAGTTTGCCAAACGACATGTAAAAAAGCCTTCACAGTTCTGGAACAACATCCTATGGACAGATGAGACCAAGATCAACTTGTACCAGAGTGATGGGAAGAGAAGAGTATGGAGAAGGAAAGGAGCTGCTCATGATCCTAAGCATACCACCTCATCAGTGAAGCATGGTGGTGGTAGTGTCATGGCGTGGGCATGTATGGCTGCCAATGGAACTGGTTCTCTTGTATTTATTGATGATGTGACTGCTGACAAAAGCAGCAGGATGAATTCTGAAGTGTTTTGGGCAATATTATCTGCTCATATTCATCCAAATGCTTCAGAACTCATTGGACGCCGCTTCACAGTGCAGATGGACAATGACCCAAAGCATACTGCAAAAGCAACCAAAGAGTTTTTTAAGGGAAAGAAGTGGAATGTTCTGCAATGGCCAAGTCAATCACCTGACCTGAATCCGATTGAGCATGCATTTCACTTGCTGAAGACAAAACTGAAGGGAAAATGCCCCAAGAACAAGCAGGAACTGAAGACAGTTGCAGTAGAGGCCTGGCAGAGCATCACCAGGGATGAAACCCAGCGTATGGTGATGTCTATGCGTTCCAGACTTCAGGCTGTAATTGACTGCAAAGGATTTGCAACCAAGTATTAAACAGTGAAAGTTTGATTTATGATTATTATTCTGTCCCATTACTTTTGGTCCCTTAACAAGTGGGAGGCACATATGCAAACTGTTGTAATTCCTACACCGTTCACCTGATTTGGATGTAAATACCCTCAAATTAAAGCTGACAGTCTGCAGTTAAAGCACATCTTGTTCGTTTCATTTCAAATCCATTGTGGTGGTGTATAGAGCCAAAAATGTTAGAATTGTGTTGATGTCCTAATATTTATGGACCTGACTGTATGTCCAGAGTGTGGGAAATGTTTCACTGAGATTGTAAACAGACCTTAGTCATGTGGGAAATGTTTCACAGCCTTGTTTAGGCTCCAGGAAAGGAGCCATTTGTATCTCCAGAGTGTGGGAAATTTTTTAGTTGGGAAGAAAGCCCTGCCTAAGCTGCAGGAAAGGAGGCACTGGTATCTCCAGAGTGTGGGAAATGTTTTACTTGAAAAGAAAGCCTTGCCTAGGCTCCAGGAAAGGAGACATTTGTATCTCCAGAGTGTGGGAAATGTTTTACTTGGAAAGAAAGCCTTGCCTAGGCTCTAGGAAAGGAGACATTTGTATCTTCAGAGTGTGGGAAATGTTTTACTTCAAAGAAAGCCTTGCCTAGGGTCCAGGAAAGGAGACATTTGTATCTTCAGAGTGTCGGAAATTTTTTAGTTGGGAAGAAAGCCCTGCCTAAGCTCCAGGAAAGGAGGCACTGGTATCTCCAGAGTGAGGGAAATGTTTTACTTGGAAAGAAAGCCTTGCCTAGGCTCCAGGAAAGGAGACTGGTTTCTCCAGAGTGTGGGAAATGTTGTTTTTGGAAAGAATGCCTTACCTAGGCTCCAGGAAAGAAGAGAGTGTGGGAAATGTTTTACACCCATTGTGGAAACTGTGAGAAGGAGGTGGGCAGCAGAGATGGGTAACATACTGACTATTATGGCAATACACGTACATCCCTACACGTGTGCGGGCATCAGACAAGCAATGACAAGAAAGTGCAGGAAAACATCCAACCCAACAAAGACTTGTCATCTATCGATGGACCTTTTCATACATTCTATTGGCTGCTGCACATCGTTTCTCTTTTTTTTTTTCTTTTTGTGCTTGACTGAAGGATCTGGGCTTTCATTGGTCCAGCCGATGTATAAATCATTTGGTGTCATTTCTCCAGTTGTACAAGGTTTTCTGTCCGTCCACTTTAGGTTTTTTATCTTTTGTCAATCGGTTACTTTCATTTTTCTAAAATAAACCTGAAAAAAAAAATTCTGCTCCGAGTCCATTTTTTTTTGTAAAAGGATTAGGGAGTTGAGGATCTCTATCCGTGTTCAGAGTATGGGAAACGTTTCACCGAGAAAGAAGGAGAATTCGTGCAACACCATAAAACTGATTCTCGACGCCCTATTTTTTTTTTTTTTAACTGGTTCCCCGCCAACCTAGAGCAGAACTGCTGCAGGGTGGAAATCACAAATATATACGTGAATTTGTATTTACGGGTAGGGGGCACGCGTGCGCACACTGACACGTGCACCGCCCTGCCCGCACTACCATTGGCAGCTACAGCTGTCGATCACCAAGTCCCGGAAGGAGATTCCCCATCGGCACCCAGCGATCGGTAAGGAACACTGACAGGGGAGAGGTCTGTATGTAAACAACACGGGTCTCTCCCCTGTCAACGAAGACATGCTGCTTTGTATCTCTCTGCACAGTAGCATGTCTCCCAGCACACAGTTAACCCTTTGATGTCCCCAGATGTTAACCCCGTCCTGCCCAGTGCCATTAGTACAGTGTCGGCGCTGTTTATTAACACTGATCACTGTATTGGTGTCACTGGGGGTGCCAGTGACACCAAGTTAGTTAGGTTCCCCCCCCCCCCCCCCCAAATGTTAATCCCTTCCTGCCCAGTGCCATTAGTACAGTGTCAGTGCTTTTTATAAACACTGATCACTGTATTGGTGTCACTGGGGATATCAGTGACACCAAGTTATGCAGGCCATAGACGGGTCGTTTATCAGCCAAATTTTTGTCCGAACGCATAATCGGCCGACATTCACGCCGTCAGTGGGGCAATGCCGTCGGCCGTTTTTCACAGACCTTCTCGTTTCTTTTTATCGGTTATGCTGGAAAAGCCACGAAAAACGGCAGTTTTTCATAAGCATTGGTGGCAGCAACGAGCAACAATTCGGCTGATAAACGGCCCGTCTATGTACAGCCCTACTCCCCCCCCCCCCCCCCCCCCCAGATGTTAACCCCTTCCTGCCCAGTGCCATTAGCACTGATCACTGTATTGGTGTCACTGGGGATGTCAGTGACACCAAGTTAGTTCCTAACCCCAGATGTTAACCCCTTCCTGCCCAGTGCCATTAGCACTGATCACTGTATTGGTGTCACTGGGGATGTCAGTGACACCAAGTTAGTTCCTCCCCCAGATGTTAACCCCTTCCTGCCCAGTGCCATTAGTACAGTGTCAGCGCTTTTTATAAACGCTGATTACTGTATGGTGTCACTGGGGATGTCAGTGACACCAAGTTAGTTCCTCCCCCAGATGTTAACCCCTTCTTGCCCAGTGCCATTAGTACAGTGTCAGCGCTTTTTATTAGCACTGATCACAGTATTGGGGTCACTGGAGATGTCAGTGACACCAAGTCAGTTCCCGTCCAGTGTCAGAATGCCCGCCGCAGTCCCGCTATAAGTCGCTGATCGCCACCATTACTATATATATATATATATATAAAACAAATAAATCCCAGTATCTATCCCGCCATTTGTAGACGATACAACTTTCACGTAAAAAGAAATTTCCACGTATCGGGATTTTTTTTTTTAGCAAAGACACGGAGCGGGATACATTTTGACTGAAATTTGACGAAATTTGATTTTTTTACATTTTTTTTTTACCGGACGTTTTTAATCCGTTTCAAAAATCCAAAATGTTTTTTCTTCTCAAAATTGTCGGACTTGTTTTTTTTATAGCGCAAAGAATTAAAACCGCACAGGCGATCGAAAACCGCCGAAAGAAAGCTCAACTCGTGGGGACAATAGGACATAACTTTAATTTGGGTGCGGCGTTGCACGACAGCGCAATCGTCAGGGAAAGTAAAGCAGCGCCGTAACGCAAAAAATGGCCCGGTCAGGAAGGGGGGGGGGAATCCTCTGGAGGGGGAGGGGTTAATAAAATCATCTTCGATGGTTGGTGATTGGCATGTGACCAGTTCATGGAGAGTCCTCCATTGGTGGTTTCTTGTTGACACGGAGGCCCTGATTTACTATTGTGCCTGGGCGCATTTCCGTGGGCGAACGTCTATTTTCTAGTGGCGACCGTCTACTTTTACACTGCAAAGAGATTTACTAAAGAGAAGCGTCAACAAATCGAATTTACTAACCAGACACAGACCAGGAATCAGACTCACAAAGCAGACTTGCTAAGAGGCACATCTAACACCATGAAAAATCACTGCAGAGACATGTTCACATTGAAATTTGCTTTGCCAAATATCAGGACTTCACTTAAACAATATCTGCTATTTCCAAAAAAATGTAAAATGTGTTAAAAATAGTTTTTTTTTAAGCAAGTCGACACAGTGAAGAACTAGACGCTTGTGCAGCTTATTTGTCCGATATAACTGAGCATGTGCAGAACACATTTTAGACGTCCTCTGTGGGCGTTTGCTTTTTAGCCGCTGTTCAATAGTAAATCTCACTGTGGATTCCTCTGACAGCCGGCACTCGGTCGCATCTACTGTGTTTAATAAACAGCACTCGGCATATCTTTATGTATTCTAATTTGATTTCCTTAGTTCTAGTGATTCTATTTTTGTTTCTTATCCTTTATAATTATTTCTGTAATGATTTTACTTATTTCGAAGGTCTAGATAATATTTATTTTGACAGCTGAATGTAAAAATAAAGGTCTGCAAAAAAAAAAACTGCG